CAGGGTGCCACTGCTACACAGTAGAACGATGACCAGACAGGTTTGTAGAGACCTGGGTTTGTGCCCACGTCTGCCATGTTACCGTGCTGTCCTTTCCTTCAGCTCTGAAACGGATTCCTACATTTGGAAATGCTCTGTCCCTCCCTAACGGACCAGTGCTGCATCAGCTTTCTGAGAGGTTCCCAGTATCAACAACTTCGGTGCCTTCCTCTAGTAAGGCAAAAAGTTTAAACAAGAAGTGTTCTTATTTTTATGACAAAGATACACTAGTTATACTTTCAGAAAGATTTTGTGAAATCACATCTAACATTTGCAACTGTATGCATTTAAACATTTGAGTTCACGGTAGCACTCTACAGCCAACAATAAAACATCACAGTGAAATTTGTGACACAGTACTTTGTCATATCCAAATGCGAAATGTGATTCACATTCAGAATGTGTCATAATTTGCATAGTTATCCTATTAAAACTGGAGCTTCCTGGTGTAGACAGCTACCTAACATCTCAGCAGGCATGTTGGTAAGAAATAAACCATAATTGAGACGGGTGGTGGCAGCATCCAACTGGTTAGAACAAATTACTTCTATTTGACTGCTGATAATTCCTGTTAACAATACTTTATTTTCTATGTCATTATATAAATAGCCCATAGAATCTCTATTATGTAACGCCCACTACCACTCTTACAGAAGAGCCCTAGATGGATGTTTGGGTGCACAGCATACGCACCACTATGACAGTCACTCAAAAATGACATATACCCAAGTCCTCTAAATCTTTAGGAATGGAGCAGGGTAGAGGGTGAAATGAAGAGGACAGAAGAAAGGGTGCAAAGCTAAAAACGAGCATCCACCAATGTTTATGTCTCCGGAACATTCCCACTGATTCTGGAAATTTCTGGAGCCTGAAATCAATTTCAGTTCAGAGGTATTTGCCACCAAGCCCCTCCCTGTCCTGCTCCCTCCAACCTACACATACACACCAAACACAGGTTCCAGATCTCTATTACATCTTTGGGAATAAAACAACCAAAAGACGATATGGAAACAGCCACTCTCTGTGGGATTGATATCAGAATATAATAGCTTCACACAAAAAGATCGGTAAAGAACAAAAGTCTAACTGCACATTCAATTCTAATAAAACTTGCCCCATTTCCCCTCAATGGAGCAAAATTTTTTTCCCCTGACATTACATGCAAGAAAGAGTGGTAAATGCTCTAAAAAAGGTTTTGATAGTTATCGGGACAAAGGAAGCTATGATTACCTCTGCTTAGGGTCAGTGGTGAAGGAAAGACAGATGTGCCCATGAAAGAGAGAATGAAATTCACACGCTGAGCCTCAAAGGCTTCATCAATCCTCAAATCAACAAATGTTACTATAGTGGGGTGGCAGGGAGGGGAGCGCCATTCTGAGGGACAGAGTTTATGTCTGGTTGGATTGCTACCTTTGATTAACTGAATATTAAATGAGTTGTACAATGATCTCGCGTTCTTTACTGGGGTGCTAACATATCCGTCATGAAGTTCTTACTGACATTCTTTAATCCCTGGAAGTCAGCAGAGAGTTACAGCAAACCTGGCTCCATCCTAACATCTGTCACTGGACCCCTTACATGTCCTGGTGCTTTCATCTCCTCCCTGGGTATGGATATTTGTTACCACATTTTCCTTCCATTCAAGCAGGTCTGTTTGCCTTGAACAGACATTCTTTTCCACCCATTACTTCAGTTCCAGAGAGAAGAAAGGCTGCCATAGGAATGAGGCCAGTGGATGTCCTCCCATATTAACATTATGCAGAGGAAAACACTACCTAAAATTTTAAACCACCTTTACTCAATAATAAACACTGGTTTCATAGCTCAACCACAGCCACTGACATTTACAACCTATCAATTGTCATGCATTTCCTATGCATAACTTATAAGTTCAAACCTTTTCACGTTTTAGTGAAGCTTAATTGCTTTTCTGATGAATAATATTTTTTAACTGATTGGAGCATTTGCTAACCCAACTGCACAAAATCACCCAGCATCACTCACATATGGTGTTTGCAGATCTAACTCAAGCCAGAGCCAACCTAGTGTTGAATTTATCTTATAACTCTATAAATTATCCCAAACTTCTATTTGGGGAAGATCAACAGTCACTTCCTCTTTATCTCTATGGCTAGCAAGAGTGTTTAAAGTTTCTGAATTTCCAGAGCCAATCTTTCACAGAGAAATAGCAAGTGTTTATCACTTAACTGGATATCGATGCTGGGTGAGTCACTGGCTTCTTCCTAGCCAGCTGATTTCTTTCCATATACCAGCCTCATAGCATTTACTTAAGGAAACTTCGAGGTAGTATATGTAATAGGAATCTTAACTAACTCATGACCAAATAAAGCACATGTTTTAAATCCATGTATGTTCCTACTATAGTTAATTTAGAAATGTCTCCAGGCCCTTGTATATGAGTTTCAATATATAATGGAAGCAATAACTCAACCCTCTGCTTTTCCTACTAATTCCGGGTCCTTACACAGAAACTTTCTCTGGCATAGATTTCCTTAAAGTTGTTTTCCTTTATACTTTTTCTCTTCTGCACTAGCTACTCTCAAATTGGTCTTAAACAGAATTGATAACATTTCCCTCTAAGTATACTTCCTTAGTACATTATCCACATTTTATTACATATTTTATGTTGTTTATATGATATAATATTGTGTATTACATATTCGTGATGTGACCTCTCTCTCTCTCTCTCTCTCTCACACACACCCCTCACTCAACTACAAGAGAGTGAGCCCCTTGAGGACAGAAACCATGTTTTATTTATCTTTCTAATCTAGTGCTTTTCACAGTGCCAGAGACTGTAAATAAATGTTGCTGAATAAATAAAAGTTGAATTTTCTCAAGGCTAGTAGTAAAAATCCTTTTTGTTTTTCATGGACTACTTCTCTGGAGATAAAAGTGGTTTAAACTTACTAACCAAATAACGTGCTATGAATTATGTAGGAACAAGTTCCATTACACCAAGACTTCAGAAAGGAAGAGTGAAGGAAAGAATATTTGTTATTTACTCAGTGATCAACATTTAGCCATTGAGAAATCAGTTGCTAGAAAGTGGATATGCTACCTGGCAATGCCGTACTGTATTCATTAGCTGATGTTGCTCACTTGAGCATCTCATATTCTCTGTATGTTATAAAGTTTCTTTAGTGCAGTATGCCTTGTACTGAGAAGGAATATCAATTCTGCGCAGTCAAGAAAGGACCTGTTTCTCCCTTTCCTTTTGTGTAACGGCATCAGCATTTTTATTCTCTTAGCTTTCCAGGTGTGACAGGGGACAATATGCTTTAGTGACTGTGAGAAACCATGAAGGATGCCCCTGCTTTTAGACAGTGTAGAAGCAAATGGCTATATTCTTTGTGCTCCATTTCCCCCTCTGTGAAAAAGAAAAGCATAATATTTAACAACATCACCAAGCTATTGTGAGGGTTAATTAGATTTAATGGGGGAAGGGAGGTGAGTTGATTACACACTATTCAAACTCAAAGAATCATTATTTTGTCAGTCTAAAAATAATCCTGATTTAGGAATAAAATTAATTTGGAAGCTCAATCTTTGGTAATCATCTTCCCACACTTAAAAAAAAGCCATAGTTTTTAATCAAAATCCCATTCTAAGCACAATCCAATGAAGTACAAATGGAGATCTGTGAATTTCCATTCCCTTTTCAAGTAATACAGTGCACGGCTCACATTTTTCTTTTTCTTTTCTTTCATTTTTTGAAGATATGTGTAGAAAGGTTAATTTTTTGGCATGGAGTAAATGTAAACAAATATGGTACATTAATTTTTTTTGTTTGCTTCACATGAAACATTTGTGAAACAGTTTAAATTACTTCTTTAAAGAATGAGTAGTCAATGTTTTGTGGCTAATAATTTTTCAGGTCATTTCTGGGAAGTTCCATTTATTTACCTATCGATTTATTTATTTTCAAGAACTAGTTAGTCAAAGATCTTTGATCCATGTCCTAATCACTGGACCTCATGAATATTACCTTCCATGGCAAAGTGGATTTGGCAGATATGATTAAGGATCTTGAGATAGAAAGATCATTCCAGGCTATCTAATGGTGTGCCTGAGATGCGATCCCAAGTGTCCGTAGAAGGAAGGCAGAAAGAGATTTGACTACAGAAAGGAAGGAGACAATGTGGTGACATGGAAAGGAGGCGGAGACAGGCATGTAATGTAGGGCCATAAGCCAAGGACCGAGAATGACCTCTGAAAGACAGAAAATGCCAGGAATGGATTCCCCCCTAGAACCTCCAAAAGGAATCAACCCAACTGACACCTTGATTTAGCCCCATAAGACTCCTTTTGGACTTTTTAACTCCAAAACTTTAAGAGAATAAATGTGTATTGTTTTAAGCCAAAAGAAAAAAGAAAGAGAAAGAAGAAAAAGAAAACAAAAGGTCTTCATATGCCCTAAATTTAAGAAGAAAGAAAGAGAGAAAGAGAGAGTGAGAAAGAAAGAAAGAACGAACAAAAGAAATTCCTAGATATTTATGGCTAAGATGAGAAAAAATCATCTAAATAGTAATCATCAAAATTAATAATAGATTAATTTACTATGAAAATATGAGAAGTAGAAGTTGGTACCTGAGAAAAATCTGAATTGTTGCCTAAATCTCACTAAAAAATTTATAATAGCTTCAAAAAAAAGAGAAACATTCTTTAAAAATACAACAGTGGATAATCCTAGAAAATATTCCGCATCTGTTAGGGGGAAAAATGTTGCCTCAGTTTTCGGTGAATGAAGGGCTTTGGCTGAGAAGGAACTTTATTGCTTCTATTTAGAACTTTTCAAAGGAAAGGGAGACTATGTAATTTGGTTAGTGGAAATGTATTCTCTACAGAGAAGCAGAAATAATTCTCTTCTGTTTTAACATTACCCAATTAAAACTTCCCATAAGACTTACAAATTATTATAGCTTAGACTATATACTCACCAAGCAAACTTCTGATTATTCATTCGATTTCCCCGGACCCTTGATACTGGGGACGGATGTACCCTGTAGGTGGATGAGAATAATCTAGTCATTAAAAAAAGCACATTCCCGATTACAAATGAACAAATTAAAAAAAAGAAGAGCTGGTTTATAAATGATCTCTTGTAGGTATGCTTAATATAGAATGCCCCAGAATTTAATCACCTCTTAGTAAATGAACACAGTTAAATTCCTATGCATGCAAACCTGCTGTCTCTTTCCTTTTGTACCACTTTTAACGTAACAATGGCTTGTCACAATGTTCACTGTGCGGATCCCCAAAAGCCTGACCCCCAGTGTTAATCAAATGACAGATTCATTCAGTCCAACCAAAAGTTACTGACTAGCTGATCCTTGCCAGGTTTAGAAGTGGGTAAAAGTAATGTAAAACGTATGGTGTTTGCCTAGGATGAGTCCCTTCTGCTACCTCTTCCCACCAGGGATACAAAGAGACAGTAAGTGCAAACTGCCTGAGTCGACTACTGGATTACAAACCCTAAAAAGCAAGATAATGAAAGAGATCAGGATATGCCATCCCAGAATATGCTACTTTGGCCTCAGGATTATTTTGAGTTGAAAGCAAGTAGGAAACGGCAGCTGTAGGAGGAGCTCTCTATTTTCCCTTTATATGCCTAAAAACCAGGACATGAATTTCCCTTTTGTAAAGGAAATTTTCCTTTGTAAAGGTGTTCCCCTCCCCCCACTTCCAATACCAGGAAGAAGAGCACAACATACAACTCTTTACTCAGACATGGTACTGAGATGAGTCTGCATAAATAACCCTTATTTACCCTTAGATTCCCCTGTCCCTTCCCACAATTCACCCTCCTAGAAGCTCAAACTCCCCTTTTGACTAGTCACTCCTCCACAACTTATCACTCTTTGTCAAAATGGTATATAAGATCCACATTTTTAACCACCCCTTTGAGTTACTCATCACTGAGCATTCCTGCAAGTATGCATGCTGCATGTGTAATAAATGGGTTTTTCTTCCCCCTCTTGCTAATCTTTTGTCCATTTGTTTGTTTATTTATTTAATCTTTTGTCAGTTTAACATGCAGGCCCCCAGACACAGAACCTGAGAAGATAAAAGAGTTTTGTTTTGTTTTGTTTTTCTTCCCCCACAATAACTTCATCCAAATGTCCAGGAACAGAATCTGAGACTGGGAGAGGAAAGAAGGTGAACAGTTACTTCTAGGAGAAAAGCTTTCGAGATGTGATGCTCTGCAGCTGGGCTTTGAGGAAGGCAGTCAATTCAAAAGTTTAGCTAAATAATGGAGAAGTAAAAACTACATTGTATTACAAGTTTCCAGGGTTACAATCATCCACTGGAATAGCTTATATTTCCAAGAACTGCTGATATCTTCCAATCAGGAGCTAGCTGCTGAACCTCCACCCCTTTGTGGGTCACTCACTGGCAAGACAATATGCCCTACTTCCTGCTTCCTTGTAGCCAACTTCCTGCTTTGTTCTGTCTTTGCTGTAATTTGTGAGATCTAGGCACTTTCAGCTTGTGGTATCATTATGTCCCACACATTTCTCTCATTTACAGGAAAGAAAACAGAAATTTTATTTTATATTTTTATTTTCATTTTTTAAAGATTTTATTTATTTGACAGAGACACAGCGAAAGAGGGAACACAAGCAGAGAGAGTGGGAGAGGGAGAAGCAGGCTTTCTGCAGAGCAGGGAGCCCGATGCAGGGCTCGATCCCAGGACCCTGGGACCATGACCTGAGCCCAAGGCAGATGCTTAATGACTGAGCCACTCAGGCGCCCCGAAAACAGAAATTTTAAATGAGCCTTTGAGCCTTGTCAGAACCAACAGCTCCAACATTCACTAGAACCCAGTTCTCCATAGTTGTTTAGCAAGTGAAAATCACTTCAAAACGGATCATACAGTTCCAGCTCTGTAGAAGGGCTAAATGCAAACTTTCTGTAAATCCAGAGCCAGACTGCACTTTGCACTGGGAAGGCTTATTTCTTCCAACATCCCTTATTAACATTCTTTTCCTCACAGCGCTTCTCAATGGCTGCTGCAGCTGAGCTGCTCAGCACAGATTTTCTGCTCTGCATGGGGGAGGGGATGTTAATTACGCAGAAAGATGGAGAGAGGCCAGACAGCCCCTCTGCTGAACTGTCTCATTCAAGCACGGCCCACTTCCTGCTGTTTTGCAGCTACAAGGATCACCTGTTGGTCTTGGCATCTGGCCAAACTGGGGCCTAGCGGAAATGACAGACTCAGCTAGAAATGAAAGCCAGCTCATATTCCGGCACCCCAAATTGGGGAGAGAGGAAAAAAACATGCAATAGAAATGCAGAAGAATTATACAAAAGGTAGCACGGCTCATTTTTTCTTCTCTTTTCTTCTTGTTTCAGTCTGTCTACTTGAAATACAATCAACAAAATGGAATTATGAGCCAAAGAATATCTCCCCACTTAAATCCCCCTGACCCAAGGGACAATACAGGAAGTCCTCTTAATCTTCCCTACAGCCTCTCTAGGCTATCAGAGTCCTACTACCTAAATGAAGTTCTAAGGAGTAATAGCCTGAACACTTACGATTCTTTAATTCACTCGACATCCTTTAAATGTTTAGGTCCTGTATTTCTTCCTCCTTAACCTTCATATTTCCATTCATCATAATTCCACCAGGTGATGTTTGATGATGGAAGTATTCTCTTACTGATGCTTCTCATTCCATGTATCAGTGGAGAAAAATGGGCCTGTTTAAATTATAATTACAATATCCTCTAGGTATTTGTATCTTTTAACAAAATTTCATTGATCCATAGATCAAATACCATACGTAGGCAATTCCTATAATGGTTTAACAGTCTACAAAGAATTCCATGACTGTGTGGAGATGAACAAATAATTACGAGGTTTCTTAAATTAAAATGGTAAAACAAGAAAGCTTTTTTTCCCCCTTCTGAAAGGGGGTAAATTGATAACCCGAAGCATACTTCATGTGATAAAGGAGACCATAAGGGTTTGCATTTCTGCTCCTCCCAAATTTTATTTCTTCAAAAGGCTATGAGGTGTTTTTGTGAGCTCAGGCTACGCTGTGGCACTTCTGGCGATTGCCTCCTTTCTTTACACATATAGCAGCCAGGCAGGTAGCAAAGTCAAAACCCCAGTAGGAGAAACCACCACCTAATCTGCATGTCATGCATTATTCATGACCTCCTGATTCCTGCACCTGCATCTAGGCAGGAAGCTTGCAGGGAATGTTCATTATTCTTCTCTTAGCCTCACACAGGCTCGATTACTGCTAAGCCACTTTGTTCTGTAACTAAGGGTTTCAGGCCTTAGTACTAACCGCTGGATATGGAAAGAAAAAAAAATCATGCGAAAGAAAAGAGCAATTTGGGTTGTTGTGCAACACACACTGAATCCTACAATGTGCTCTTCTGAGACTGACAGTTAGTGTCTGATGGAAATGCTCACATTTGGGGATTTACGTTACATGGAAAAAAGGGAAGCCATACCAGTAAGGCCATGTATACCAACTGTTCTACCGACACGCACTGACTCATTTAAGACACACAGCATGTTTATAATTGTGCCCAACACAGGGCTTAATTTAGCTTCCCTGCTTAGCATGTGAGAACTTTTAAAATATCTTAATACAAAAATGGTTCTTCCTTCTTTGGATATAAGCTCCAAAGAACCTGACCCTCAAATCTTGTATTTTAACAACTAACATTTACCGTAAATCAAGAGGATAAAATCGCCCGGTTCTTCCCAATGGTTTTATGGACCTTCCTGAATGGCTGGTGGCTGGAGGTAGGAGACGAAAGCCAATACTCAACACAAATTACTGGTTACTAATGGACCGCTGGGGAAGGATACCATCTACTTTCTTACTAACCCCACCACAGAAAAGCTATGCCAACTTGAATCCAATCTTCCAGCCCCAAATGAAATTAGGAAGATGTGGTTAAGAGTACAAACTGTGGAACCAGCCTGCCTGGGATTGAATTCTAGCTCCACCATTTAACCAAGAGTCATGCCATTTTAGGGCAAGTCACCTAACCTCTCTGGGCTTCAATTTTCTCATCTGTACAATGGAGGCAGTAATGGCAGCCACCTGCCAGGGCTGTGAGATTTAAATGAGGTTAACAGTTGTCAAGTGTTTAGAACAGTGCTTGGGACCCGGGCAGCAGTCAGTACACGTTGGCTATTATCACTAGCAGTGTTGACTGGATTGGAAAGGATGGGAAGATGAACCTGGAATATCCAACTAATTCCAGGGGACTGAGACAACAAATGGGCTTTACAGACCTGCAGTCTTAACTACCATGCTTCTATGACTTCACTAAAGGCAAGGAAGGGACAAAGAAAGATGAACACGTTTAGAGTAATAAGAACCAACTACTGTGGTTTCCAAGAGATGGCTTACTCTCTGGCATCAAATTTTTCTGTTCTTTATTAGAAGATCTATCTTCTGTTTGCTAAACTGCATAATATTTCAGTTACATCCTATTCGAGAACAAGTCAGTAATCACACCAATACAAAATCACTCCGTGAACTAACCCTGTGTGCCAGACACTACACGAAGTACATCAGACACATTATCTTATTTTATCTTCATAGGCTTACTGTCCACATTTTCTTTGAGAAAATAGACTTAGAAGAGTTAAGTAACTTGCCAGGGTGACACAGCTAGTGAACAGCAAAATTGGAACTTGAACACAGTTACGTCTGATTTTTCCTATTCTACATTATCATCCCATCCTGTGAACTCATACACACTCCCCCCACACTACCCTAAAGGATGCGATAAAGTCAATTAGCACCAGGGGCTTCAAGAAGAGATTTTGCACTTACTTAAGGCCAACTGCATATCTTATAGTTTAAGTAAATGCAGAGTGAAAGTACTAGTTTTCCTGACCTAAAATTGGCACTGGCCGAAATACTAAGCTTGTGGGTACTCAAAAGAAAGGCACAGTAATATAACTACTGATCTCTCTTTAACTGCTTATGAAAATCTCTTATTAGTGCTGCTATTTAAATACATAA